AGCGCACCATGGTCTTCAGAGGCAACCAATTTGGGGTCCTGAGCCCAGTGACCCACTTCCCCTGAACCAGCCAGACAGCAGGGGGTCGGGGGGCTGAGGAGGGCTGGCCACTCCCTGTCTCCCTCGGACCTGTGTGTCCTGAGGGGAGGAGAACGTAAACGCACAGCAGAGATGTTACAGATGGGGCAGGGGCAGGGGTCCAGAGACGGGCATGTGCACTCACTCAGACACCCATCAGACTTGAATGGAGCCCGGTGCTGCACCAGGGACACAGCCATCACCAGAACGGTGAGACCCCACCCTGGTCCAGGGAGACTAGCCCACAGCAACCACAACCCAAGGCGCTAATGCTGTGATGGGGCATCCAGGGGCTGTGGAAGCACAGGAGGGGCATTTCCTGAGGGCTCCAAGGGATGTGTAGGAGTTTGCCAGGTGAGGAAAGATTCTGTGGGGGGAATTGGGGAAGGCCCGGAGGTCATGAAAGCACCTTGGGGGGAGAAGCAGTTCTGAACAAGAGAGATGAACGTGGAGGGGAGAGGAACAGGGTGTGGGGGTCTCCTGTGTTGCCTTTGAAGTCTGGCCTTTATCTTGGAGGCATAGACAGCCACTGAAGGTTAAGAGGAGGAATGGGGTGACCACAGAGCAGTTTGGGCAGATCTTTCTGCTGTGGTGTGGGGGTGGAAGGCCAGGAGCCAGGGGGCTGGGAGGAGGGAGGAGGCTGCTGCAGACACGAGAGGGAGGTGATGGGTGCAGCCAGGGCGACCGAAGGGGCTTCCCCACTTCCAAAGGGCCGTCCTGGGCAAGAGGCCTGGGCTGGACAGGCAGGACCATCAGGGAAACCGACCAGAGCTCAATTAGGAAGAATTTTCTCATGACAACGTGCCCGCCTTGGAGGTGGGCCTGACCATACAGGCCTTCCCCTGGGTGGGCCCTGCCTGGCTGGGGGGTGTCTCACAGGGACCACAGTCGACCTTGACAGCAGGATTTGTGTGTGGGTTGTTTCATTGCATCCTCACCACACCCTGTGAGGTCAGCCCTCTGGTCCTCTTATTTTCCAGTTGAGGAAACTAAGGCCCAGAGAGGTTAAATCACTTGCCCAAGAGCACTCAGCAAAGACAGCTCATGTGGGGGTGTGGCCCTGGGGGTCTCTGACTCCGGGAACCTCACTGCAGCAGGTTCACCGGGGCCAGAGGGCCCTGGCCCAGGTGGTGGATGGGGAGGTCTTTGAGATGAGCTAGAACCACGATTCTTCACTTAGAATTCGGGGAGTCCGTGGACTTGGATGGAAAAAACTGCATCTTAAAGTTCACTGCCCTCTCCCCAAAGTGCAGCATTGTCTTTAACCACCACCGTGGGAGTGTCAGCCAGGCCCGGGACCTCGGCCCTGGCAGAACCGTCTGCACCGGCCACTTTTGCGAGTCAGCAGCCGAGTATTGGGCATTTCACGGGGTTCAGCCTAATATTCCGTGTCCAGGGTCAGTGTGGCGGCGTCTCCGAATATGGTTCACCCCCATCGCTGCTTCACAATCACGGCCTTGTGAAGAGCCATGTGTCGCAACATTGGAATTGTCTAATGTTTTGGCAACTATGTTTGAATATAAGGGGTTTCCTTTGTAATTCTATGAATGTTTTTGTGCTCTCAAAAACATTGTTTTGAGAAGAGGCCCACGGGTTTTACCAGAGACCCCAGGGGCCTCGGCACCAGAGGGGTTAAGACCTGCTGACGCTGGCTGGGGATCTCCTGGGTTGTTCCCCGTTCGGGCTCAGCCTCCGGACCCCAAAGGGCAGAGCTGCCCTCCTCCTGCCAGCAAGTGCACTGTAACTAATCCTGCATCCACCCAGCCACGCGCGTGGCACCTTCCCTGTGGCTCTGGGTTGCTCAGCAGCACCCTGAGCTGGGGAGGGCAGGTGGGGCGTCCAGCTCTGGGCTGGCCTCATCTGTTCTGCCCTGAATGAGCCCATGGGGGCAGGTTTTTTCCTGCCCCATCCCTGTCATCCACCACCGTCTGACCACACCTCTTTGGGGACCTGGAAGCAGAAGTCAGCCATCTGCCGGGCACTGGGTTAGAGGGCGCTGGTCTGGTTTGACTCTTGTGGAGCTGCCCACATCTCCCTGTCTGGCCTCCTCTGGGGCTGCCTTGTGACTTGTATCCCTCTTCTGGGGGCTTTGTGACTGGGGACCTCACCCCTGTGGGCCCCAGTGCTTCCTCTGTAAACTAGAGTTGACATGAGACTTGCATAGAATCATGTTTACACTGATCCATCCACCCACCCGCCCATCCACCCATCCACCCATCCACCCATCCACCCACCCATCCACCCACCCACCCACCCACCCATCCACCCACCCATCCACCCATCCATCCATCCATCCACCCATCCATCCATCCGTCCATCTATCCATCCATCCATCCATCCATCCATCCACCCACCCACCCATCCACCCATCCATCCATCCATCCACCCATCCATCCATCCGTCAATCTATCCATCCATCCATCCATCCATCTACCCATCATCCATCCGTTCATTCACTCAGCAGTCGTGGGGCTCCTATGCGCCAGGAGAGGAGGCAGAAATAAGACACTCAGCCTGGCTGACTTCCCCGTCCACCTCCATCCATTGTCGTCTCTCCCTCTGTCCCCCGTTGGCTTCCCTCCAGCTCTCTGGCTGTTCTGCAGATTCCTGAAAGCCTGTAGGTGAGACACCTCCGGGCCCCTCTACCTGGAATCCTTTCCCCTCACTTCCCCAGAGGCAGCTCCCAAATGATCCTCAGACACAGTTTCCAAAGGACCTCCCTTCACTGCGCCACAGGCCACATCTACCAGGGGCTCATTGATGGAATGTCTGTCTCCCACAGGTTCCCAGAGAGCTGGAATGGAGCCGTCCTGGGACCTGGGTAACCCCAGCGTGGGCCCTCATAGTATTTGCAGGGAGGAAGGAAGTGGGGGCAGGGAGGGAAGATCCCTCGCTCCCTCCATGCCCCCATGCAGACGGGCAGCGGTCTCTGGAGGGAGCAGCCCTGGGACCAGGATGGGCAGGCCCGGTGCCCCACCCCTCCTGCACCCCACCCCTCCCGCACCCCCCCTCTTGCAGCCACTTCCTCCTCAGCTCCTTATCTCCCGGGCCACCCAGCTCCGAAAGCCACAGCCAACGTCCGCTTCCCCACAGGCGCCAACTGCCCGGCCCGGGGGGAGCAGGCCTCGGGCAAGCACGCTCGAGATGGCCACCAAGGGGCCAGGGAAGCCCCCACTCCTCACTTGTGGGCAACTCTCTTCTCTTTCCAACCTGACCTCTGTCGCCCCCGCTGGTTAGAGAACCAAGCAGGACACGAGGCCTCCTCACGAAAGTGGAAGTGTCCCGTCTGTGGGGGCTGCTCCCACAGGTGCGAGCTGCCCGGACATCTGCCTGGCGTGGGGGTGGGGGCTGCCCCCCCAGGCTGCCATCCTGTTGCCTTCACAGGGGACCCGGGCCTCCCCAAGACCCTCTCACTTCCAGGTTCTGAGGTGCCCCTGGAAAACAACAACGAGGACCTTGACGAGAATACTAATACCCGCGGTCGGAGTTGCAGCAGCATAGCTGAGTGCTACCCGCATGCCAGGCCACGCTCAGCGTCTCCTCTCCTGGGCACAGTCTGGGACCTGGGGCCACCGCAATCACTGTATCATGCTGAGGAGGAAACCGGCCGGGGCAGGGCTGCCAGGTTGACCCCAGAACTCTGCATCCCGCCCCGAGTCAGAGCACAAGAAGCAGGGAGGGGAGCCATGGGGACAACCATGACGCCCAGGGACTGGCCCCTGGTTCATGGATCTTCCTATCCACCTGGTCCCCAGGGCGCGGGGCAGCCCCCCTGTGCAGGGAGGGCACACACGGGGCAGCCCCCTCCAGGAACAAACACGGCCTAGTTCAAATTGACATGCGCTCATCCCTGCAGTGACTCTAGAAGGACGCTGTGACAGGGTGGCCTCTGGAGAAAGACACCAGGAGACATGGCGGGGTGGGTAGTTCTTACTCTTCCCTGCCCACCCTTCTGCACTGCTTGACTTATTCACCATGTGAGGCATTCCCTAAAAATTCAATTTGAGTCAATCAAATGAGCACAGAAGCCTGTGCACCAGCCCAGGCCTGCCGGACGCACACCTCCAGCCTGTGCGAGACCGCCGAGTCGGCAGGCAGCCGTGGTTGGGTCCCAGGGAGCCAACTACCAGGCAATCGGGGGCACAGGGCACATGGTCTCCTTCTTGGGGCCACTGCTCTCCCGCCGTCTGCCCACAGTTGTCACACCTTCAGTAATTGGCTTTATTAGGGCCTAGGATGTGTCTTGCCTCCTCTGCTGGGTGCCTGGTGAGGCGGGGCTCTAGGACACCCCCCAGGGTCTGAGTGGTCACAGGGGGCTCAGATGTGGTTTCCGGAATCCCTCAGACAGGGGAGCAGCCCCAACACCCCCAGCAAATTCCAGCCGTGGACCCAAATCGGCCACTGCCCCCCCCAAGACTTCCAACGGGAAGTGGGGGAAGGGTCTCCAAGGAGCCTCAGCCAGGAGGCTGACCCCCAGAGCACTGCAGGAGGCCAAGCACAGAGCAGCCCCGCGGGCAGTACTTCCCGGGGGGCCAGTGACCCTAGGCAGCAGCAGGGGAAGCCCAGAGGGGGAGGGGGCCTGGCCAGACCTGCAGACCAGGACCAGCCAGGACTCACCCTGAGGTCTGGCTCAAGGGCACAGCTGATGCCCACAGACAATTGACCCCAGGCAGGGTGCTCTGGGGGAAGTCTGGCTGAGGGCAGGAGAGGGAGGCGACCCCAGACCACCCCAGGCTGAAGGAAGGTCCGGCCCCAGGGGAGACAGGCGGGTGGGGTGTGTGGGGTGGAAGGCTCCAGCAAGATGGACACTGCCCCCCGCCAAGGTTGAGGATACACACCCGAGGCCAGAACGCCCGGGTTTGGGGTAGGTGGGGTGTCGCAGCTGGGCGGTAGGAGGAAGTTGTTGGACGGTCAGACCGGAATGGCCGTGAGGAAGGCCCAGCAGGGCCGGGCCCAGATGGTTCCTGCGGAGGAAGCGGTGGGCACAGCTGCGCGCTGCGTCCTGGCCTGTCGCACTATCACCGTGACACAGCTGGCCGCCTCGCCTGCAGGCTGTGGGGAGACCTCCCCCACCACGGCCTCCCCAAGCCCGCCCCCGTCACATGAGCCCTGCGGCCCCCCGCCCCTTCCCCAGGCCTCAGGCAGCGGCTGCTAGAAGGCCCAGAGCTGCCTGGGGGACGAGGCCTTCGGCTCTGAGGAATCCAGGCTGGCCGCGGCCCCTCATCTTTCCCTCGAGGTCCCACGAGGTTGGGCGAGGCACTCACAGCTGTGCTTGGGCCCCGGCCCCACGTTGGCCCCTGGAGGGCGGCCCGCCTCACACCCAGCGTCAGGATTCAGTCTCCTGGATCCAGCTCCCGCTCCATGTCCCGGGCATCTCCCGGGCAGGAGAGCGGGCCCCTGGCCTCCACCAGCTGCTCGGCGCCCCGGGGTCCCAGGAAGGGCGGCCCAGGTAAGGGGATGGGGGCGGGGGTGGGGGGACAGCCAGAGCAGGTGGCCGGAGTGTGACATCTCCAAGCTGTGGCCCACCGGGCGCTGTTGACAGTGGGAGCCCGCCGTGTTGACTCACCTCAGACATCAACACGGCCTCCCCACAGGGCACAGGCCGGCACAGCTGGGGCAGGTGGCCCAGGAGGACCTGGCAGGTGCCAGGCCAGGCGTGTGGGCCCCACCCAGAGGCAGATGCTGGAGGCGGGGGCTGCTCAGTCCCGTCCAGGAGGGGGTGGGCTCTGTCCTTCTCGGTGGGCAGGGTCCCAGGAGCCGGTGAGGAAGGTGGTGTGCAGACTGGTGGGGGCTGTGCGCAGAGCCCTCCTCCTGGGTGGCCCCAAGACTTGGAGGTTGGATGAGGAAACTGAGGCCAGAGGGAGAGGGTCTGGCCAGGGCCCTGTAGGTGAGGGAGGGTCCGGGACTCGACCCCAGGCGCCCGCCGAGGAGCCATCCTTGGCAGGGCTCCCACCCTTCGGAACCAGTGTCAGAGAGAAGTGGGGACACGGAGGACGGGGCCTCTCGCCTTCCCACGGGCGCTGGCGCTGGGAGGGGGCCCAGGAGGCTGTGGTTCTCCTGGCACCCCCCGACCCCAGCTGCAGAGTCCTGGGGCCCTTACAGGGCCTTGTCCCAGGGTGTGCGGGCTGGCCGAGAGGCAAGCTCCCCAGCCCACGGCCACGTGGCCATGCTCCGAGCAGCCTTGGGAACCTTCTGGGGCTCGCAGACCCAAATCCACTGCTGCAGTCGCATCCAGGGGCCCAGTGGGCCTCTGAGGCCCGTGCCCAGCACCCAGCCCAGGGCAGCCCTGCCTCCTCTGCAATGGGCCCACTGCCCTGAGCAGGGCCCGAGGGCCAGCCTGACCCCACTGTCCTGGAACCAGCATCCTGGTTCTGCCACCCGCCCCTATGCCCTCGGGCCAGCCCTTCCTGACCTGGGCCTCAGTTTCCTCATGTGTCAAACCCGTCCTCCTGCTCCCTGATGGAGTGTGGGAGCGGTTTCTCAAAGGCCGGGAAGGGAGGGGAGAGGCAGGTAGGGGGGTGAGAGCTGCTGGCTGCTGTTTTGTTTGATTCCGGGGGTGTCAACCGTGGAAGGAGTTTGAGGCCAGGAGGTGGCGATGAACCGCACGGTGCTTGCAATGTCACCTCTTTGGTCAGGCTGCAGGTGCCTGGAACAGATGGTCTGGGTGGACCTCTGACGCAGAATTCCAAACACTGGTTTATTGAGCCCACGGTCACTGCATACCCCAAGCGGGGCACTGCTTGCTTGGGGGGTTCACTGGGAGGAGGGAAAGCAGTGAGCATTTGCCGAGTACGTTGGACATGGGGGTCCCAGCCCTGGGACACTCTGGCTCTTAGGAGCTCACATCCTGTCTTTTCTAAATCACCCAGCCCCATGGGACAGCCACAGCCACACCAGGAGACATTCTGCTCCCCATGGCTCCACAGGGGACTAATGCTCAGGCCTACAAGGCCAGAAGGCACCACTGGGGGAAGCAGCAGACGGGACCATGCTGGAGGGAGCCCTCGGGGGGTCCTGGGGGTCCAGATCCAGGACAAGCCCGTGGGCAGCGCAGCTCCACCGTGCAGCTTCCCAAGAGTCCGTGCAAACCTTTGAGACCCCAAAACGTGTTAAGTGGCTCTAAACCACAAAATGAACAGTAAGTCATATCTGCTAAAGCTGGAGTATAAGATCCTCTTGTTTGGGAGCAAATGTGGGTGCACACAGCTGCGGCCGCCCTCCTGTTTGGTAGGAGGTGGGGAGGCAGGGGCTTCCAGGCTGAGGATGGGGAGGGTGAAGGGCCTTCACCCCTCTGACTGTCAAATCCCCACACAAAGCACAGGGCAGCCCTGAGCACCTGGCCCCTCCCTGGTCCGTGCCCCTCAGCACCGCATCGGGGCCCCAGACCCTCAGCAGCCCTGCTGTGGCAGAGGATCCGGGCCCAGTCAGGACCCACAGCGTGGAGCCCTTGAGGGCAGGGGGAAACCAGACTGTGTAGCATGGAAGGAAGGGCCCCGTTTAGAGGAGGGTTTGCTGCGCTCAGATTTATTAGGCGCCTACTGCATGCACTAGGAGCTGTGCAGGTACCAGGGGACTTGTTCCAACAAGCCCACTTTCCAGAGGAGACTGGAGGTCAGGGGTGCTGGGCCCCCACAGGAATGAGAGGTGGGAACCAGGACACCCGGCAGAGGATGCGGGGATGGAGGCATTGAATCTGTTCACAGATTTAGGCTGAAGCACGGGAGGGCCGGGGGCAGTGTACTGCGACCACCCTGGGGGAGAGACCGGGTCGGGCCTGTTTGGTATCGCCTGAGAGGGACAGCGTGGGGTCCAGGAGGCAGATTTCAGCTTAAGCATGACCAGGGTGGTAATGAGTGTCCCAGCACTGGAGGAGTCCAAGTGAAGGCAGGTGGGATGTTGGGGGTGTTGGGATGTGGAGGGTGCCGTCCTGCGAAGAAGCCTGGAGCTGACCAGAGCCCAGCCTTGGGCCACCTGGTTCAGGAGGGTGGAGTTCAGAAGTCACTGCTGTGCCTAAGTGGCGTGGGCTCCTCCCACTCACCCCCCCCCCATCCTCATCCTCTTGCCTCCAGCTGCCACTTGACCACAGACTCTTCTCCAGAATGCTCTCTGCCTGGAATGCTCCTCCCTGCTGTACTCATCTCCTGGGGCCGTGTAACAAATGACCACAAACGAGTGACATAAAGCAGCAGAAATCTATTCCCTCCCAGTTCTGGAGCCAGAAGTCCAAAATCCAGGGGTCGCAAGGCCGTGATCCCTCCGGAGGCTCCAGGGGAGGGTCCTTCCCGCCTCTCCCAGCCTCGGTGGCCACATTGCTCCATCTCTGCCCCCGTCTTCACATGGCCTCTTCTCTGTGTCTCTGTGTCCTCTTCTCTTCTTATAAGGACACTTGTCCTGGGATTTAGAGCCACCCCAACCCCGGTGACCCGAGCTCCAACCGTCCCGCCCGCGTTCCAGGGGGCAGGACTGGGGGAAGGTGCCCAGAACCTGCACAGCCCGCTCCTGTCACAGCCCACGGCCAGCACTTGGGCACATGGCCTTCACAGGAGCAGGGCTCTCAGGAGCCCACAGGGTCTCTGCCCCAACCGGCAAAGCCCCACTGTCCATCCAGCCGCAGCCCCTGGGCTGTGCTGGTGGGGCCTGTCAGGAGACAGGCAGCTATGGACACTGGTGGATTCACACAGGGAGGGCCCGGTGCACCTGTGGTTGTCATGCTCGTGAGAGAAAGGTGGAGTCCACAGCCCATCTCTGCCATGAGGGTGAGGACAGAGCCCCACAGTGACCATCTGACCTGTGACGTGGCAGTGACAGTGTGGTGTGCAAAGTACCGTCAGTGCCGTGTGGTGTGACCTCGTCTGTGCTGTCACTCTGTGCGGGATGGCTCTTCTGTCCCTGCTCTGCCCACACCCTGCAGAGGCTTCTCCCCTCGCTCAGGCCTGACACGGACCCGAAGTGATAGGACTCGTCTTCCACTGCCCATTCCCCCTCTTGTTGACCACACAGTGCTGGGGTTTCTGTATCGGGATCACGGCTCGGGGCCTGCCAAGCCCCACGTGCTACTGTGACTGCCATTACAGAGGAAGACACTGTGGTTCCAAGGGGCACACAGCAGGCAAGAGCAGAGGTACAATTGGACCCAGCTCTGCTGACCCCGCAAGGTGGATGCAGGGGCAGATTGGTATGTGGGCCCATTTAGAAGCTGGCCCCAGGTCAGTCAGTCCTAGCAGGGTGATGGTGCGGACAGCTTGACAAGGAACAATTCACGAAGGTCAGACAGAGCAGCAGGGACAGCAGGGAAGTCTTGGGGCTGAGAACCCCTGGCCTGAGGGGTAAAGAGGGGAGGAGGGGAAGGAGCTGAGAGAGGGGTCAGGAGAGGGCGTGGAGTGGGGGCTGTGGCCATCCAGTCGGAAAGCCCTCAGGAGAGTGGACGGCAGGACAAACACCCACCTCTCTCCTCCCCCCGCATCTCCCGGAGGCCACCTGGGCAGGGCCCCTGGGGCCAGCCTCCAGGGCCCAGAGCAGAGGAGCAGGGACGCAGCCCAATTCCAAGTGCAGAGCCTCCGTCCCCTGCGTCCTCGCATCAGGAGGGAGAGGATCCTGGGGGGGGACTCCGATCCACCCCAGATCCTGGGACAAGTGGGGCTCCCCTCCTCCCTCATGTAAACGTGCAATGTTCTTCCCCTGAGACCCGCAGCTTCTGCTGGAACCCACTCGTTCCTTCCCTACACCATCCCCAACCCGCGAGTCTGTGGGCAAGACTTCTGGGGCCAGTCGCAAGAGGACATCAGCCACTCGTGTCCTCCCGTCCATTGGACAACAAATCAGAGCCTAGGAAGACAGAGCCACAGGGCAGGTGATGCCCAGGAGACAGGGTGCAATCCAGGCCAGCTTCCTGGAGGAAGTGGTCCAGCGGGGGCGGCTGGAGGAGGCAAAGAGGACTTTCACTTCTCGAGAGTCGTCTTGACTGAGAAGAAAGGCATCCGTGTTAATCTGCCTTGGCCGGGAGCCCTGGGGCTTTCTCACACTTTCACTTCCTTGACTGCACTGGACCTGCAGGCACAGCCGGGAAGAGCGGCCCCAGGAGAGGCCCAAGGGGGTTATAACTGAGCTAGGACTCTCTGTCCAGTCCTCCTCCCTGGAGACATCTGCTCTGACGGAACTCTAGGCCGGCCGAGGGGCCTGTGGGTTCCAGGTCTTTCACACCGATTGTTATGGAGCCCGGGGCCAGACAGCAGTGGGCACTAACGAAATTCTTGTCAGCAGAGCACCATGTGCGCATCCCGCTGGCACAGCCGGGAGGGGGCAGGCAAACAGACACTGGGCAGGTGGCTGCTTGGAGAGGGATGATGACCCTCAGACAGCTTCCCAGGATGGAGGTGGGCGTCAGGGGACCCCACCTGGGAGGCTTCCTGGGCCCACAGACGCTTCTCGTGGAGCTTTGTCATTATGTCA